CCCATGTAAAGATCAGCACAGAACAACCTGCTTTCAGGCAAGTGGCACCTCTCTCATGAGTACGGAGACTTGCCAGGCAAATTGTAAATGTTTATCAACGAGTTTTAGATGTTGAATCAGATGAGGCGATTTATCTCGAAATATTTGAGTGATAAATGAAATGACCTCATCCGATATTTTTCTATGTAAAGTATAAGTTTCAGTTTTGAAATTCAAACCAATATTTATTGTCTTCCGTGAAGACTTGAATGGCAGTAATTTAATTAATCCGAATTTATAGAAATCTTAGTAAGCTGATAAAAAAGCATGAGCTCTAATTAAAGCAAGGGCTGAGTTTGAAGTCTCACATATTACAATCCCTGTTAACAGAAAAACAGCATTCAGTACAAGAAGAATACTGGTTCTGGATCACAGACTAAGCTAAGGGGGGCTTTATTTGCAAAATTCTGTCTTGTATTGTTTTGTAAATTCAGAAGAAAATTATTCTTTGTTTGTATAAATCTGAATGGGAAGGAATTAGCATTATTTTTCGTTAGTTATTGATGGCAATGGACAGGTCAGGTCATTAGCAAAGTTTTACATTGATGAAAAACATATTGAGTAGGCAATAAGGAAGGTAAGTGGGTTTTCAGTGGTTTATTTAACAATATAGCCCCCAAAATGTCACCTGTATTTATAGAGCTGATGTCTTTTAGGCAATTTATATGTGATTCCACAAATGTATGATAGCTATTCATGTGTGTCCTCTATCGAAGAGGTACTTGAATGGTCCACAATACATTCCACAAATCGGTGCTTTTTCTTTAGAATATTCTGTGTAACATCATATGTGACATCGCTTGCTAATGGCTAATTTATAAATATATATATTTTTCCATTGACCAGCATGGCATTGTGTATTGTCAGCCAACTCTGACCTTTATATTACAATCCACACATTGGGAAATACTCTGAACTTATTCGCTCAGTTCTAAAAACCCCAGGTTCTGATTGGCTGTTGACAACCCAAGATATTCTGTCCAATTTGGAGGTCAGATCAAAAAAATCGATACTTACATGCACGTAGGACCCGATCGGGGAATCAAACGGCAATCTCCATAGTTACAGACAAAGCTATTAGGCAGCCCCTTGGTGCATTGGGTGATACACTGTAACTGGGTGCTACTGTCATTTGCAAAATAGAAGTCCTTGAGATCAGGTTCAAACATCTGTCTGCACAAATCTGCAACACGGGTTTAAAGATTAAAGATTACACATTTAAACACATAAATTCAAGAATCAGTCCTATCAGAGGCATATCTGGTTTACATGGCATAAATGGGGTAAAAATTACCCCCGCACCTCCACCAAGCTGTAGAATTAGTACATTAGTAATCATATCTACACAAACACACACATTGATTCGTAAACACACAGACACATGTACACACAGAGACTTGTAAAAAGCACATATGGCCAATAAACACACATAGACTGATCTCTAGAATGTAAGCTCATGGAGCAGGGCCCTCCACCTCTCTGTTCCTGTACGTCCAGTTGTCTGGTTACAACTACATGTCTGTTAGTCCACCCATTGTACAGCGCTACAGAATATGATGGCGCTATATAAATAAAATAATAATAATAATAATAATAATAATAATATACACACATTATCGCACCCAAACTCATACACAAACACACATACTGATTGATACGCATACTTACACATATTCATATACTCACACAGACTTTTACACACAGACTCTTACACACACAGACTCATACGCACACAGACCCGTACGCACACAGACCCATACAGACAAACTCACACACACAGACTCTCACACACAGACCCATAAACACACAGACTCATGCACACACAGACTTATGCACACACAGACTTATGCACACACAGACTTATGCACACACAGACTCATACACACAGACTCACACACACAGACTCATGCACATAGAGACTCACACACAAACACGCATACAAATTGATATGCATACTTACACACATTCATATACTCCCACACAGACTTACACACACAGACTCACAGACGCAGACTCATAGACACACAGACCCATACACACACAGACTCACACACACACAGACTCACACACACACAGGCCCATACACACACAGACTCATACACACACAGACTCATGCTCACACAGACTCATGCTCACACAGACTCATGCACACACAGACTCACGCACACACAGACTCACGCACACAGACTCACGCACATAGACTCATACACAAACACGCATACAAATTGATACGCATACTTACACACATT